TTAGGTCTTACCATGAGACCTACGGTAATAGCTACCGGTACTTCCCTATAGGGAAATTCGCTAAAACAAACAATTTTATTTCAAAAGTTTGATGTTAGTTTTTATGTAGGCCTACGTAAACAAATGTTTGCCTTTACATATGCACTGTTCACATAGAGATAAACCCTTGTAATAAAATATTTGACATAAAACACAGAAGCAGCTCACACTAGGTAATGAAGTGGTTAACCTCAAACAGCCATGTCATATCATCAAGATATTTTGATTTGTCAACAACCTTATCATAAAAATAGCATGTCCTCTAGTTTTATAATCTACAAATAAAGCACAAACTGTAAAATCTAGCCTTATTTAAAAGAGAACCCTTTATTTGACATCAGTACACTCAAGGTTAAAAATTAAACATATCAAAATAGGCTCAATTTAACAGTTTGATGAGAGGTCTCCTTGTCCTATTCAAAGTCGAAGACATTTATTTAAAGATATTTATTCAAAGATATTTTATTTAAAGATATTTATTCAAGGATATTTATTTAAAGATATTTATTCAAAGATATTTATTTAATAAAAATGGTCTAATTAAAGGGATGGGCAGAATTGAATTTTTGGTTCAGGACAGGTTTTTATTCCTTCCTGATTATCAGGATGGGATGTAACAGAATCTTTTTTTCACCTTTGAGAAAAAAAAACACAAATAAATTTTCAGCTCTTGTGGCACTGATCTTTAAAAACCAATAATGGAGGGAAGTTATCCTGCGTTCACGGTCACTATCGTTAACTTGCACCATCAAGAACATCTCACCTAAAAATACGTAGGCCTAATCTTCATCACCCGACATCTCCCACGATTGTGGAGACGCCATCATCATTACTCGCAACTTGTCAAAATCGCCGATGATCTGATCAAATACAGTATTGAGAAAATCCCAAATTAGATGTAATTCCGCCCTAATGATTGATCATATCTTTCTCCAGCAGTCAATCCCTTGTCCAAATATCATACCAGATGGCACTGCAAGTAGTCCTGGGGCAAACACGTTAGCCCCTCGCAGCACGGCTGCTCCGCAGGCTGCGTCCACTACCACCTCTCTCTGCGGAGGCTGTGGCAGGGCCAATCGGACCCAGGGATCCAACACCAGCAACTCTGGTACATCAGGAAACCTACTCACTCGAGGAGCCAACTCACCTCTTTGCAATGCCTCCTAAAATGATATAACTTAGCCTATATAAATTATAATTTAACTACAGCTAAAAGATTTAATATAGATTATAATTTATCTTAGAATCTAAAACTGAATTTCAAAGTTTATCAGTCAGTAGTTTGCAACAACTATAGCCTACATCAATTTAGGCTACATTTATGATTAACAACGGGATACATAAATATTAACAAAAGTAACATTTAAAACATTAAACCTAAACTAGACCCAGAAGATTCTTTGTAAATATTGATTCTTTATAGAAAAACTATTAAGTGTAGGCCTAACATGTCTCATCAAAAAATATTGTATCTAAGAATCTTTTACAAATACCTATGCCTATAGGTACCGGTATGTTTCGTGCATATTTATTAAATTATTTGATAATTAATTTAAAGAACAAAATAGGTATTTACATTAAAATCACAGCCCATTAACCCTTTCAGTGCTAGGCCAATAATTCATATTTTGTAAGTCTTTTTTGTTTGCCTTTTAATTCCATTACCCGTTGTTGAATTTTAACTGTCATGTTGTCACTATTTTATTAATTAGGCTAATTTTGAATAATAACACTAGCCTATAAGAAAATATATAAGAAAGATAAATCCCGGTATTTGTAGTAAACATCAAATAAAACTTAGTTTTTGTTGTAATTTTCCTGGTTTTCCTATAAATTTTTATGTTCTGATAGCATTATTTGAAACCGAAATCTCACAAAATCAAAAGACATATAGTTTACAATGTAATATTGAATTTAACCCTGATTTAGTTGGACGAGGTTATTGTAATATAGCAATTTTAGTGAAACTAATGTTTTGCAGCAAAGTCTCAGGAACACATTTACTACTACTAAAACTAAAAGATTGCATCTAAATAGTCCGTGACTAGCTGGTGCTGCTACCTAGTAACGCATTGAACAACCATCTGCAGCGCAATCTGTTCGCAATCGGTGGCGACAGCTTAAATACCGGGTTTTGATTCCCCAGTCTTCAAGCACAGATAGCCGAGAAGGCTAGGGCGTGTGTCACTTGGCCAGTGGCATTCGTCTGCTCGGGTTCGAATCCCGTCCTGTGTGCCAAATGATTGGTGACCTGTGAGTTTGTAGCGATATACTACAACCACTGGGGCATAGTGAGGTGTTCATAATCCTTGGTTTAGAGACATACACCTCGAAATCATCGGATTGGGCGAATCTTTTAGCTAAGTGGTTGGTAGTGTATCCTATGAACATGCAGGTCACCAATGGCCGTTTTGCTATTTTTTTTTTAAATAACCTTCCTCTCTATATCCCTTGGGGTTTTTTTAAAACAACGATATATCGTTTCATAGCACTGAAAGGGTTAAAGGCCCTGGAACTGTATCCTTGATTACTATAGAGGCAAACAAAACAATGAGACACTTTAACCACAATATTGGAAATCGGTGCTCCTAAATAAAAACATACGTATTATATGAGAGAATAATGACTACAAGCCAGACGGCTTACCAAATTAAACAAGAATGCCCAACACTTACGTTATTTAATGATTCTATAACAAGGTTTTCAACTTCTTCTGCTGATGATAACAGTGTATTGATTCGAATTGTTGTGAATCTTGGGGGAGACACAAACCAATCTTCAAGGAATTCCTGAAACAACAAATTTGTTTGGTAGGCAGGCCTACCTTGGTAGCCTATGATTATAATCAATTTATCTAGCCAGTGTTCCCTGCATGAGCAGTGGTTTTTCTGTGAATATTCTCTTACTTCAGTATACAGTTCACTAGAGGTTCAGGTAATGCACAGTGCTAACCAGTAGTGATTTGAATAATTCATAAAAGATTAGTTGTCTGCAAAAAGAATTAATTGCAGACATTTAGCTAACAAACTAGAGGTAAGTTAGGCCTATCTAAAATTCTATAAGAACATCTTATTACGTCACGTTTTGTAACGTGAAATTTATACCGATAGCCTACAACTGGTTGTATTTAAAAAGACTATATCACATTTTTTTAAGAAATACCATGATAATGAAGGATAGGGCCTATAAGTAAATCATTGTTTATCTACGGTTTTACGCTGTCCTACCCTACCTGATTTTCCCATATTCCATCGGTTGCAGCACATAACCCAATTTCAGAAATAACTTTAAGTATGTCTGAGTGTTTAAAAATTATTGGTTTGTTAAGGTCCATTGTTTGTAGAAGGCTAAAAGTATGAGATTAAGCTTAAAGTTTTGAGAAAGATTATGCCTAAGGTAGAAGCTTTCAACAAACATCACAATCTGCAAGATATTTTTAGGAACAGATAAAATTTAATCATCCAGTTAATTTTAGAAGACATAATTCATTTTCAAGTACAATTACGGTATTAATTTGTAATTAAAGCTAAAATTACGGATAATTATTTAACTTGTGTAGTTTAAACATCAAAACTAAGACTTCAAATTTCTATTTGACAGATAGAGATGATAGTGCTTCTGCTTCAAAATGAAAACAAAAACCAGGATAAAAGCTCTTTTTTTAAGGGCTGGCTTTTTTAAGCCATGCAGTGCTTGTAGCAGCCATACAGATTAAGTGATTGGTTATTTTTTTTTATCACTTTTGAGTAGTAAAATAATACTAATTATACTCTCCTGTTATAGTATAATTTGCAGCATGCATTGTTTTTTTATATTTAAGGGGTTTATACGAGATTCTTTTAAAGGCTTATTTTACGATTTTGCAAGAAGTCCATGTCCAAACCTTGGTTTTGGTCTTTGTGTTATCCCATGGCCACCTTCAACAACAGGCCGCGGCGTTTGAAGTGGCAACTTTGTCAGTAGTGCTGAATAGCACCATTGACTATAGCACGCAATTAAATGAAAGGGCGCCATACCTGTCTGCCATGTTAGCTTATGGGACGTCTAGCTCTAAAAAGCACTACTTGCGAACTTGCGACGTTGCCAAGGCCAAATCTACCAGGCCACGACCTTTTTCCGTTTCCGACCGTTAATGGTGGCCATGGTGATTCACGACCACCTTTAACTACAGTCCCCGGCCTTCGAAGTGGCAACATCGCTGTTTTGTTTGGAGGTGGCTAATGGTCATTTGTGTATTTTTAAGAATACAAAAGCAATTGTTTACTGGGCTATGATATGAAAATATCGACTCAAATTTAATGTACAAAAAAGATTTTCAATTTAAACATTGTTTTGGTTTTCAATTCTATATATTTTATTTTCAATCTCTTAATAAATTTATGTTCATAAATTTAAATTTCAATGAATAATACGCGAATTAATGAGCTGGTGTCACCTGCCTGCCATGTTATCTTTATCTTATGGGACGTCTAGTCCTAGCACTAGACTGCAACGTTACCAATTCTACCAGGCCGCGGTCTGTAGTTAAAGGTGGCCGTGGGTGATCGCTACCTCCTAATCCCGACCAAAGCATCCTTGATTTTCTAATGATTATTATTACTAATTGAGATGTGGAGTCAATCTAATTTCGTATTTTATTGTATTTTATCTTATCGAAAATTAGATGCAGAGCAACAAAATATTATTATCTCTATCCACTGATTGGTACATAAAGGTACCAATGTCTTCAGAACAGACATTTTTATGATTCTTTTACAATGCTTAGACATATTAATTGGCCTAATGAATTATTCTTGGACATTCTTGAACAAAGTGCCAATTACATTTCTGTAATAATTGTGTATAAGATAGTAAAACCTTCTTTTAAGTATCTACACCTACATGATATCATAGAGGCATTATTGCAGTTTAAATCAGCTGTCTAGCAGAAAGCCTCTTTCCTCTTTTTAAATGAAAAATCAATATGGAGTCGTGTGTGTCTTCGTACAGTGATTAAATATTTAATTTAATGGTGTTATTTTCATACCTTAAGTGATAATATTCCTTTGAAATGAAACGAAAAAGTTTTCATTGCCTTCTTTCAATAATTGCTTTAGGGTTTTCGATAGATCTGTGTAATAGTTTGGACGATCCTTACAAGACCCTGGGGATTCCAAAATCGTCCACAGTTCCTGAAATTAAGAAAGCTTATAAACAATTAGCCAAAGAATGGTAAGTCGATTCTTGAAGATTTATTAAACTGTGCCTGGTTGCAGCAATATATCTGAATGTAAATTGAGTAAACTTAGTCCTTTTTGTCATATTGATAATTTACAAGTCAAGTCATTATTGCTCATCCTAAAAAGAGTTCAATTCACAAATCAAGTCTAAAAATACCCGGAATAAGCTACAATATTATTCAGGATATAACTTAATATATTTTGTTATTGATCTTTCCTATAAAATCCTTATATATAATACGTGAATGTGATTCTACTAACACTAAGTTTACTCCTCCATTAATAATAGGTATTTTAAAAACGATGTGTCAAAATTATTTTTTTTGTGTAATTCCCTTTCACCAATTTCTGTAAAAACGTCCTCAGGCTTTGCCCCACAGGCCATCAAAAATCCCTATGTACTTCTTATGAAGAAAAGATTTTGTTTACTTAAACAGACAAATAATTTAAATGAATTTAAAGTAATTAAACATGTTTGTAGCATAGGTGTTTTCTGAGAAACCTACAGTGGTGGAATTTCATGTAAAACCAGGTTGGATTCGGTTTTGACTCTCTTCAATAGCCTTTACCTGTGGAATTTTTGAACCCAAATCTACATAAATTGTAAAGATTAAACACATTTTGAACAATTGAAATCATAGCCTACTGCATCTAGGCTATATGATATTTTACAAATTTGTTCTATTTGCAGGCATCCTGATAAAAACGACGATCCATCAGCTGAAGACAAATTTGTTGAAATAACCCAGGCTTATGAGGTAAACAAACAAATTAAGTTATTCTACACATTTTTATGCCACTTATGTAAAAAATAGACCTTTCAAAATCGAGCAGGTGCTTCTTTGATAGGGGCACTTACCTAATAGGTAGCCTATATTATAAAATAAATATTTTATGTTATCATTCAATTCTTGAACACACTTGACTTGAATATCAGTAAGTTACAACTAAAAATATTTAGTGACTCCAGCTACAGTTTTTATTAATGTACTTAAAACAGTCATTTGGAGAATTTGGAGTTATTTATATGATTGGAGAATCTGACATAATTTTAATTTGTATACATACAGTATTACTTAGTTTTTGAGCCACATTTACAGCTAATTTTTAATGCTATACAGTTGCTCACGGACCCAGAACGGCGCAAGCAGTTTGACACGTTTGGTCGGATGGAGGAGCCTCGACCACGTCATGAATACCGGCGCTACGACCCTGTTGACGATCTCTTTGCCGGAACCGGTTTTCGGTTTCAGTACTCGGACCGAGATATCACACTCTTCCATAAACTCTCGATTACTACAAGGTAATCTGCTGTTTTAATGATTATTTGGGATTTCAAGAATAATTTGGAAACCATTCCATAAACTCTACATCACTAGAAAATATGTTGGAAATGAAATGATTAATGGTATTTTTTATTGCCAAGATTCAATGTACAGTACACAAGTCAACTTGATTTTTATGTTTGTGATTCTGTATCCCAAATAAATATCCCTAAATATTATCTTAGAAGATTCCAATCAAAAATTAAATGTTACTATATAGGCCTATCATCAACACAACCTATGCCAGAATATGTTCTCTATTAAACGTTAGTTTAGCAACTGAAAATGAATCCCTATAAATAATATTATTGTTTGGTCAGTATAGCTCGGCCGCATAGAAAACGACCTGTGCGCTAATGCTAAACCAATGCTGGAGGAGGTCGCTTTCTAAGCGGCCGAACTATAGTAGGCCTACCATTATAGCATCTCCCATTCCTCATCAGTAACTGGAGAGAACCTCTTGTGCGAAGGAGTGGGGGGCGTTACGTCACTCTTCTCTTGAGGGAACACCATTACCGTAACGAGACGCTTCGTGGCATAGTTGATAGCATCTCAGACTGGTAATCGAAGGGTCTCAGGTTCGAATCTTGCCGGCAACACTAACTTTTTGACCAAGATTATGCTTATTTTTTTATTCTTTACTTTATTTTTTTAAATTAAAACTATTTTTTTAATTAGTAAACCTTCATTAGATTTTCATTTTATATTTTTATATCATCAGCAAGTTTGGTTAGTTCGGTTAGGTTATGACAGTTAATTTTTTTAATAAAAAATATTAATATTTACTTATTTTATACAGTAATTAAAAATTATAAGTAAACCTTCATTAGATTTTTATCTTAACTTAGATCTTTTTTTTATTATCAGCAAGTTTGGTTGGTTAGGTTAGGTTATGGCAGTTAAATTTTCTAATACAAAAATTTAAGTTAAAATTAATTTTATAGTTAAAAAATTTAAGTTAAAATCATTTTATATTTAAAAAATTATTTTATAGGCCTAATTAAAAAGTTAATTTTTCTAACTAAAAAATTATAAAATAAATTTAAAGATTTTCTTAATTTGGCGTGAGGGGCTCACCCACAATCCCCCACTCCTTCACACAAGAGGTTCTCGCCACTAGTGATGAGGAACGTGAGATGCTAGTGGCCTACCATATAAAATGAAGATAACTTTAATACCAATCACCTGTTTAGAAATTAAAAAAGGATTTAAACTACTGAATGTATAACATTTTGTAAGTTTTCATGCTATCCAATGTTTTATCAATAAAAAACAAAATGCCAAAAGAATTAATGCCTTTTCAATATTTTTTATATGCTTGTAAGAGTTAACATTTATACCATGTCTCATTCAAACTTGTCTTAAGATAGAACTCAATTATGCTTCTTCATTTTGTCACAAGCACCTTATGTTCATATTCTAAACCCTCCGGCATAAATGTGCTGGCAGTGAATCATCAAAAAGAGAGAAATTATTGTAATTTTGAATAAAAACAAAACAATTGATTTGTTGCAGGGCTTTTGAAAATATGTTGGTACCCAAAAGTTACCGCACCCCGTATCTGATCCTCTTCTACTCGGACTGGTGCTTTGCCTGTCTACAAGTGGAGCCGGTCTGGCGACGAATCATGGAGGAACTGGAGCCAATCGGAGTGAGTCTCTGATTTCAAAACTTAGTCCTTCAGTATACAGAAGCTTTGTCATACAAAAGCTTGAACCAATCACAGCCAATTTCTGATAAAATAATTGAGTGTAGGATATTTGGGATTGAATGTAAATCTATAACAGTGTGTTTTAAATGTATCTAACTTGTTTTACCACTTTAAGTTTCTGGCACTAACAAACTCCTCGTAATGAGCTTGTCGCCATTGGAAGTCTCTGATATTTAAACATTGTTTAGTTTCTGAAACAAATTTTTGTTATAAACTCACACCTGCCACAGTAATTTCCTTTTTTATTGGTCTGGCACAGTGAGTTTATAAGCAAATTAATAACCAAACTAATGAATTTATGCTCCTTTGTAGCCTATATTAGAAAAATTTGATCCCATTGTTAAACTGCGCTCTTTTTTCTCTAGGATTATTGCTGAGATAGTTAGTCTCCTTGTAATTGTCTTGAATTGAGCTGCAATGTTATCAGTTAACTGATAGATGTTGTGCCACATCAGGTCGGCATTGCTACAGCACACGCTGAGAATGAGCCGATGCTCGCTCGTAGAGTCAGTATCCACTCTCTGCCTTGTCTCATCATACTTGTCGACGGCAAACCCATTGTCTACAAGGAAAGTTTATTCAGTGTGCAAAAAGTTGTAGGTAAGTGAAGTGCTACTGTTATTTGGGTTATAAAATAAACTTGGTTTAGTAGAATAGACTGAGCAGCCTATCCCTCAAGTTTATATATATTATCTTACTACCGTAATTCAAATTTTGTTGCCTCTATTTAAAGAACAGCTCACGATATTTTTCTTTAAAAATAACAAAATAACCCAAAATTAACTGAGCTTTATTCAGTCTGATAGGATAAAAGTAGTTTGAACTACCCTTTTGTGATATAACTATATGACATATTTCCAGTAACAAAGCTATGCATCTAACTTTTGACTAGTAAGTTTGTATACATTAACAGTCACAATCTCCAGTTAAACAACGTATGATGTTGTCACACAGAGTTTGTGCGCAACAAGTTGCCGTACCGGTTGATTCAGAGTGTGACGGATGATGGTTTGGATGAGTTTCTCGCAGGCTGGGTGGACAACAAGGTGCGTGCACTGGTGTTTCAGCGACAAGGCCCGGTGAGACTGCGCTACCTACTGACCGCCTTCGCTTATCGGGACAGAGTTGCATTTGCGTATGTATCTGTCATTATTCTTCCTTTGTTGTATCATATTGTGCTTCTTACTGAGAAAATGTATTAAAAAGATTATTTCTCTAATAGAAATCTGACTTGATACGACTGCATGTTACTAAATACGAGTTCTCCAATCCAGACAATCAGGGGGGAAAATTTGGAGTGCGAGCTGGTCTAGGTGGTCGCGGGCTTCAGTGCCTGTGGTCCCAGGTTCAAATCCCGCCAATTACAAATGAATTTTATCTATGTGAAATCCACAATCCTCTAGGACTAGCCTGAAATAATGTGTAAAACCGTTCTAGGCTATAACTAGCGTCCTAGAATGTGAAGGTGGGACATTAAAAAAATCCAGACAGTCAAATCTCAAATGTTTTCTCGAGATTAATATATTTTTTTGCCTCAACACACTACTAACCTACTAAACCTTATCCTTAGTGACTGAACACACTGTGTTTTCCTACCTTTCCTATCCCTTCTACCTCTTCCGTCAAGTCTTACATAGTTTGATGTGTGGTGTTGTAGGTTTGTACAGACCAACACAGCCAAGGGCGAGGCAGTCAGAGCCAGACTGCAAGTACCTCCTGATATGGACTCACTGTTGTTGTTCAATGAGAACACAGAGCGGCCTGTGGCTAGTGTGTCCATGATCAACATACCAGTACAGACGCTACAGGACGTCATCAACTCCAACAAGTACCTGTTACTGCCGAGGCTCTCCTCTCAGGTACAACCTAACTGGTATCTTAACAAAGTTAGTTTACTAACACTACTATCTAGGTATTTGTGTCACAGACAGAAACTAAGTGCTGAAATTTCAACCTCATTGCAGACAGTTCTCGAACCACCTTCAAAGCAGTTCCAAAACAAATGGCAAGCGCTAATACTGAACAGGTGAACTGCTTTCAGGATGGCTGCTACAAGGTTGAATCGAAATGTCAGCACTTATTTACAAAGTTTCTATCTTTGACGACATTGTCCCTAGAAAACTTAGTTTTTAGTGTTAGTGTGAAACCTTACTTTTTAGGTTAAAAGTTTGTTTTCTATTTCAACAGCTTATTTTATGGTAATATAGTTCATAAGGTGCAGGTGGCTTATTGGGGTTTAGGAGCAGTTCTTTTTTTGTGAAGGTTCAGTTAAAAAATCCACCTATGACCGTAAATCTCTATTGGTTGGTTGTTGGTTCTGTTACCCAGCAATTTATATCTCACCTTGAACTGTACCTCTACCGGTGCAGGGAAAATAAATAGGTGTTTGGCGAGAATTGTCTCTATGTGGGATTCTCCTTTACAAAACGCCCTACAGTTATTAAAAATAGGTTAGTTATTTATTTGTATATTTTAAGCCTAAAGAAAACTTATCTCTAATTTATTTGCAATACTTTAAAATAATTTGCAACTTTAGGAGAACTTGTTCACATAGATATTTAGATCAAAAGTTGCTCAAGAGACTTTTTAAGATTTAGGTTTAGACGAAAGTATGTGTTTGGATATAAGGTTTTTAGTAGTACTTGTCTTCATAACTATATTATAAACTAGACTCTGATAACAATTTTTAACAACTTAAATATGACATTTGTAGGAATTGTTGGATGCGTTGTGTCCTGCGTCTCCTCGTAAGCGGCTGTGCGTGCTGCTCGTCTCGCAGAACACCCCCCACCACGAGCCCCACCGACAGAGTCTGCGTAGGTTTGCGCAGGAAGCCAACTATGCAGACAAAGTATGCTTTATGTACATTTTCCAGGAGCGCCAAGTGGAGTTTGTACACGCTTTACTTTCAGGTTTGTTCACATAGAGTTGTAGGCCTACCTGAATTTCATAGGTTTGTGTTTGGACTGTGGATATATGACTAAGGTCATGGACGAGTTGCATCTAACTGGATAAAAAAAACAAAGAGATAGTCTAGAACAGGGTATAGGCTGGGATGAAACCTGTTTTAGCAAAAATGCTACAAACTCTCAGACCACTAAAGCATAAATATTAATCTTTAAGTATTTTAAAAAGTTTGCCAGTTACAATTACATGTTTGAACATTACATCTTTAATTTTATTTGTAGAAAATTTGCTATGGCCTGCAAAAACAATGTAGCATTTTTAAGTTGTGTATAGCAAAATGCTTAAAATTTGACCGCAGCTTAAAACCTGGTCTAGAAGTCTTTGAGCTCTATGACACAACAAAAATATTTTTTTTAACTTGTGGTACTTCTGTTATTTATTTGGACACCTACTTGACCACTTCCACATTTAGGGGTTTTCCACCTTTTACTTCAATGAATAATTGGGACTTGGTCCAAAACTGTATACTTATTAATGTTTGCCATATTTGTCCTCATGACTTTTAGAAATGATGTGTCATTCTTTTTTCACCAATTACCTTGGGTTCCTTACATCAACAAGCATACTAGATCTCTGGCACAGTTTTTTAGCCTCTTTGGTATTTGGTATTTGAAAAGATAACAAACTAAAACTTGTCACCATCGGTCCAAACTATGATATGCTCGTCTCAACCTAAACGCTTGATTTGTGTTTTTTGCAATACAATTCATGTTAAGAAATATTTAGACTGCGTTGTGTGGCAGGTGAGAGCAGCCCAGGTCAGCCGTTGGTCGCCATTTTGTGGCGTAGAGACCAGAAACACATCAGGTACGAGTGGCTACCCGAGGGACAAGACTGGGCGAGTTACAACACGACCAAGCAGCACCTGGAGCCAGCCATCGAGAGGCTCCTTCGGGCTACTCAGGTATGATGACCTCTTGTGTAGCTTCAGTAGCTGAATCTTTTAGCCAAATAGTATGAATGCACACACAGCCCTAAAAACCCATGTACCGGATAACAGGGTCATGCAAGTTTATCTACAATTGCAGGAGTACTTTGTCAATAAAATTTGTTTGAATTAAATTGAAAAAAATTATATAAGTTTACATAAGGTATACAATACTAAATTAAAATTGTACAGGTCATAAAAATCCAACAATATTATTGAGCTAAACATGCTTTCAAAATTTTCAGCAAATTTTTCTTATAGGGGACAAACTATTGATCATGAATCTCATGATCTCATGAGACCTGATCTCATGGTAAAACCTGGACTGGAACAATCTCTTCAAGTCTGTTGGAATCAATGGAAATTTAATATTTGTATACATATCTAGTGAAATAAAAAGTAAAATGATATTGAATTGTCTTATATCTAGATCATTAAGAGAATTAAAGAAAGGAATAAAATCTAGGAATGCTTCATTGTTAGTGGTGTGATTACAATAAGCTAGGAACTACTTAAGCTGTGATGTAAATCTGACTGACGCAAAACTACTTTACTGATGAATTAATTAATTAAATTCATTGGCCTTACTGTTTGTCCGTAATGACTTGAAAAATTTGAAGTTTAATAACTAATTTCCTTCAGGCTGTTACAGTGCCTGGACTTGATCACAACAGTTTACCTTTACCTACAATGTAATTTCTTAAAACCAGTTGAATGCCAATGATTAAAAACTGTCACTACTAAAATCCTGCTCTATTTTACACTGAACCACCTTGTGACAGGATATTTCAACCATATGTTTGTTTGAACTCTCGTGTAAACTTTCTTTGCAGGATAAAGATATTTTTTTTCTGTCCCAGGCTATGACTCACGAGGCTGTGATAGGAGAGCTGATTGATGAGCAGGCACAAGGGATCATCTCTAAAGTCATCACCAAACTGCTCATCACCTACGACATCTTGCGAGACAACCTGGACAAGGAACACATCCTTCCTGTGGTGTCTGTCATCGCCACTGTCGTGGTCATACTGGCAGCCGGCTACTTGATGGCTTACCTAATGTAAGTGGTTCATTCATTGTTTTGTTTGTTATAAAATGTTTTAAATACCCAAAAGAGTGAAAGGTTGTAAACTGTAAGAGATAACCGTTGTTAACATTTCAGAGGTTGTATATTGTTAAGTTGTATGTATTTATATTTTCCTTTCATTTAAGAACCTCAAAGATACTTTACTGAACGTCTTGTTGATGGTGTGTAGGAAACTGGAAGAGACACGGGTGCAAGAGGAGTTTGCAAGTAAACCGCGCAAGGGCAAGACCGCAGTGTACCAACCGTCGCTGAAGCTACACGAGCTGCGCGCAGAGACGTACAACGGACTGGTTCGACTGCTGCGGCCGGGTTGTCGGACAATACTGCTGCTGTTAGACACCCAGAGCAGACCTGTCCTGCTGCCCAAGTTCCACAAACATGTCTGGCCGTACCGCAAAAACAAGACACTCATGTTTGCTCATCTAAACCTTGACAGAGGACTCTCATGGTTAGTTTGTTCACTGGCCTGGTAGAATTTATTGTCAACAAAATGCTAATCATGGTTTTCATCCATAGACATCCATAGAAGTGTAACTAAAAGGAGTAGCCTGTTTGCAGCCCTTGCCTTAGTAGGGTCATGTAGTCGGGAAATAAAAACGTTTCTAGATTTAAATACATGCGTTAATTTTGTCAATTTCATTTGGTTTTGTATCTATGGTGAACCAAGTGAGACCGTTACAGTACTGATTGATGATTCACTTTTTAAACCAATAAATGTTTCCAAATTCCTTGGCTTCACTGAGGGCCAGGGGCTCATTTGTAGTAATCAACTTGACAATGCCTGCACAAAGACATCTTACGGCTGTTATGCTTTCAGGGTAGTAAGAAAACTTTGATCAGAAAATGTTTAATGTACGGCCTACTTTGGCCTAAACCACCCCTATCCTTCTTACTGAACTACCCTGTGAGATGGGGGTATAGAAACAAACTTCTAAAGGTTGTTCTGTCTTCAAATAAGAGCCATCAACATAATGGTTAAATTGAAAGGTCAGAAAGTTTTGTTCATCTTAAGGGAGTTGGGTCTACTTAATCTTGTCTACCTGTAAACCCTGGAAGGTGGTATATTTTGCAACTTAAAATGTATCCTAAAACAAGGACAGGATATACACTCATATGACACTAGGGGCAAATGGCTGTACAGGTTGGTTCAAAACCAACCCCTAGCAGCCATTAGCATGTCTAACCATAAAGCCATAAATTAGAGGACAACGCCGGTTCTCTTAAACTTTCACCTAAGTTTTCCATAATGTCAATTTCTGTCTGTCTTTACACCCTCAACTAATTAATTTAATCTATATCTTAGCCTTCTCAGTGCTTCTTACTAATCTAGCCGTGATCTACTGTCTCATACTATCATTATTTCACAACAACTCAGAAGGCAACTGCTTCATCAACAGTTGATTAAGCAGTTGCCTTCTGAGTGTAATAAGACTAAATGACCTTTAACCCTCTACACTCAATTTATAATTTAAGGGAAAGCCATTTTGGCTAGTCAAGATTTTTTAATGGAATAGAGTTCATCTAGCTCTCTCGTGTACTCCTGAATTAGAGTCCAGGACCAATAGATACACAATAAATGAACACAACACGGATCACAGATTTTTTTCATGATGTTGTTGACCTCTTTAGAGAGTAGGATCAGGACGAAATATTGGTGTTGTCATGTGTTCTTCTGTTGTACATATAATATTAGCCCCTGGACTATAATTTTCTCAGGCTTATATGGCAGTTAACATGTAAATGCTCGATTGCAGGTACAAAGAGCTTCTACAGCTGAGCCTTGCTGAGTCTCGTGATCAGCCACTGAACGTCAACCCTCGCAACTGCATCGGCACTGTGCTGTCTCTCAACGGCCTCCGCAAGTACTTCTGCATGTACCACGCCAAACACCCTGAGTGTCTGGGTACAAAGGGCACCCGGGTGAGTCTGGCTTCTTGTCTAAACCTTCCCTAGATTTTTTTTTATAATTTGTAAAGTATGCTACTGTTTGATGGTTTTCACTAATTTAGGTATTAATACAATATACAGTAATTAAGGTTAATTTTTTAAATAAGGTCAGCGGCCTTGTTTAACTGTGAATTTGGGCATCCTGACAGGAAACAGTTAACTGTAAATAAAAAGTAGTGGCAGGTACCAGGATCCTAACAACATCACTACCATGGGCCTTTATTAACAGGGTACAGTACCCTATTTATAAAGCTTACGAATCAAATTTTTATTAAAGTACACTAGAGGTTGTCTTGTGGTTGAAATCTTGACCAAAAATATGTAATCTACAGACTTCTCTATTTTCACCCCACGCTGTAAATAAAACATGTAATTGGAATTTCTTCCATTTGTTTTTATTTTCAGTTTATATTTCGTTGTTGTTTCGTCACCAGAATGGAAACCCATAAGGCCAATGTATTTTTTTAATTTATTTTAACCAAATTTTTTGTTATTTTTGAGCCTATTTTAATTTTTAAAGGGATTCTGCGCATCTACAGAAAAATATCTTTCTATCAGTGTGCATAGATTTTCCCTGCGATGCACACGAGCTGAGAAAAAAGGTTTTCAAGAAACATGCTTGCCTATATAGATTTTTGTAATTTAAAAATAATCTACATAAGACAAGAATTAAAAAAAAAAAAATCTAAATTTTGTCAAAGGAATGGCTCTAGGTCAGAATTTTATTTTTAGAAAAAAAAGGGAAGAGCTTACCTGAGGAAAGGTCTCTAATAGACCATTGCCCATTGAACACAGTACACACAATATTTCCCTTATATACCGGGGATTGTTCAAAGATTTTTTCTGAACTTTTTTCTTCCTGAAATGCTATTTATTTTCCCTTATGATAAAAATCAAATAATTTTAAGTTGAAATACAACTAAAAACACTGGAATGGACAGTACAGACACACAGCGTCATTAAAAATGAGATAAAAAACTGAAAAACTCTCAGACTGATATATTACTGGACGGACTATTGCACAGCTGGATTCTATAAATTTGGCAAATATTATTATTGTTTTCTAACACCTTCACTATTTTTGAAAGACATGTTTTTAGGCGAGGTTTATTATACTGTATTGTTCAGCTTGTGGGCTTCACTCACCTTAATTTGTTAATCCAGGACTCGTCAAATGTAACACAACGAAGACACAAACACACATACACGCACATAAAAATCGTCCTTGGATTAATTTACTCCGTCTTGGTCCCGCGAAACGTCGGAGTAAATTAATCCAAGGACGATTTTTATGTGCGTGTATGTGTGTTTGTGTCTTCGTTGTGTTACATTTGACGAGTCCTGGATTAACAAATTAAGGTGAGTGAAGCCCACAAGCTGAACAATACAGTATAACACCTTCACGTTGAACTCTCCTTCATTATACCAAACCAATAAAAACTGTTAATGTAGATTGGTTTTAGTCTCACACCCACAGTGTATACACAACAGATGCTTCTTCTCGTAACTGAATATTGGTCGTTAAATAATTTTCCAGCGGATGAAGAGGATGACCAAACAGCTGTCTGTGGACCCGGCTGGCTCCTTCATGGGCTTTGATGAGACAGACTCAGAGGAGAGTGACCTCTCAGATGTGGAGCAGGGACTCAAGCCTATAACTCAGGTCGGTACTGCAAATTTGCTTGTAAATTTTGATAAAACTGAATAAATAAACCCAGTTTTCTTAGGATATTTTTCAAGGTCGGAATAGTCTCTTAACACCTTTTCTGTTTATTGACTCCCACTATTTCTCAGGTTGAAATAATGTTATAGCTATCTACAAATTCTGTTTAAGGTTATGTTGGGCTAGGTTAGGATAGGTTAGAATAGAATTGAGACATAGCCTAAAACGGAAATTGTGTTTCTTTATAAATTATAGAGTGGTAGCGAATTATTGGAATAGGTCCGCTTCTTGAAATTCAACTCAACTGCAATTAGATAAATTGTTGTTAGTCATATTTTTAAGTCAATCTGTGTCATAAATACTTTAAACTAATTAATATTCTAATAAGTCTGCCTAAAATAATTCTAAACTCTAAACGTTAAATGATGTAGTGATGTAACTGTATCATCAAACCATGACTGATTATGTTGTATCAGTGGTCTAAAAATAACTCATGAGAGGGGGCCCAAAAAATAAGGTTGCAGGGGGGCCTGAAAAAATCTGTCACGCACCTGCTGACTCTGAAACCCGTGGTATAGCTTTCAATAAAACAAAATTTATGTATCTATTATAATGATCTAAAATTTGTTAGCCTTATTGTTTTTTTTATTTGCTCCCAATTGGTTGTTTTATGGAATAAGCCCTCTATATATATGAAGTCATGATTACCCTCTTTCCACATTAATTAGTTGTAGCAAATTTCCCATATAGGGAATAAGCTATTTTGGTTTTTTTCCAGAACGGTGACAAGTATAGCCATGTGATTTTCCAAGAGAATCTACTCGATGGGCTTCCAAACTGGCTGGACAGATTGTTCGAGGGAACAACTCACAGATATTACATCAACTACTGGCCCGACTTCAACGCCAAATGAGAGCCTTCGGTCATCCAACGTACATTTAGTTACGGTCATCGGTGACGTCGCACGATCCCTACGCGTTTAAATATTTTTGTGTTCGGATTTTTTATAAAAGTTTACATGAATTCAAAGGGTATTATTTCAATAAGTAATATGAATAGGTTTATAGATCTTATCTGGCAATCGATTAATTTACTATCACGTAGAGTATTTGTTATGATTTTATTCAAATATTAGTAGATTTTATAATGTTGTATCTTGAAGTGTTTTTGTCACACAAAAAATAAGGAGAACAAATTTAGTACCTATCCTATGTGTAATAATTTTTAGTTTTAGTTTTTATGTCTTTTTTTAACACTAGACTAAAAAAGCTAAACACAATTTAAAACAATCATTTTAGAGGCAGCCTACCCTTGAAATATTTAAGGTAATTGTTATTCCAGTTTTTATTTTATTTATTATTTTATAGATTTTAAAAATAAAATTTTGTTCGTTACATGTTATACTAATGAACTACACTTTCTAATTAGGCTGTGAATTGTTAAGTAAAATGTTGTCAAAGCCTTTAAAATCATATTCCGGTTAAACTCGTAGTATTATATCATCAACATCGTAATGAAATATTTAACCATTATCATCAAGACCCTAATCAAAAGTTAGATTTCTTTTACTGCTAACTAATATAAAGTTGTATTAACATCTTCATTAATCATGATTGTGTTTTATTTTATTGTTAAGTAACTGTTACAAAAAGAAACTATTGTTTGCAATGTTTTATTGTTTAGTGTTCAATTTCATGTTCATTGTCAATGTTTGTACAATGCTTGTTTCATATGTGTATATATTACTGTATTGTACAGTTTGTATTGTTATATACTAGCTTGTAAGCTTTTATTATTACTACAGTCATAGGTATTAAATACTGAAAAGTAATAAGATAGAACATGATGTAAAATTAAAATGTGCACTGCATGTGTGAACGAGAAACCCACCACTTTATGTATTGTAGAACATATCTTTTGTTATGTGTATTTATCAGTATTGCAGTCTTTTTTCAGCCCATCATTTGTTTTTTTTTTCAACAGCCATAGGTGTTATGACTATCAAGAAATAATTAATAATTTGCATTTTTGTTTGAGAGCTTGGTGAACAAATATAATAGTGTAACCCAATACTTTTTTATTGATTATCAGTGTCAACTTGCAATATAGGAATGTGGTGCTATATAAATTTAAAATTATTTGAAACTAGAAAAAAATATGATCATGCTTTTTTACAGATAAAGTTGTTGCATTTATTGTAAAACTACAATTTATTTACATACTTTTATAGCCAGTGTTATCAAAATATTCATGAGTTTTCAGTTTTCATTCATGGTGATAACGTTAATTGTCATATGAATATCGCCACATGAAATTAATACAGTACACTCCGTCTTATCCGGACTCCTCAGGACCGAGGCCAGTCCGGATAACGGTTTTTCCGGTTAAACCGACATCCCCAAAAACTTGTTAAAACAGAGCATTTACTGTGATATTCAACTTAAATTTAGGAGAACATTGTATTTATTCATGTGATAACTGGTCTCAAATCTTTCCCACGAGAACAGTTGTTTCAGGACCGCCCACTTCCTGCTGATCTAGTCCGGTTAAACCAATGTGCTGCTAAAAATTGTCCGGTTAAAGAGATGTCATTTCCGCCGAGTGTAGTCCGGTTAAACAGATGTCCGGTTAAAAGGTGTCCGGATAAGAGGGAGTCTACTGTATTGTCATATATGAACTTTCATAGATATTTTGCCATTACTGTGAATGGCCTTTTCAGCATTTGAATTAATGTGTTTGGGCTGATAATGAAAGCAAAAAACATCAAAAATATCAACTCAATATCTCCCTGGTTAGTTTATGTGATGCCGCTGAAATCATGAGCTAAGGAGAAGAATGAAGATGATAGACTTAACATGTAAGAATTCATGTGTTAAGTATAAAAGGAGCACATTGGTTATAGATAATTTAGTTGTTATATTTTCAATTATATATTTATCTCTTTGGGGTTGTCATATATGAATCTCTCCACATCTAAAACCTGTAAGGTTTCGCCGCTTTGTGGAGCAAAGCTAAATATTTTCTAATGAACTTTAATTTATAAAAATTCCATTTATTACCTAGACCATTTATTACACTTATTTACTAGAGCCCTTGCCAAAGTATGCTATCAACCTTTCTTTAAGTTTACTTTTTCTTTTTATCAATATTGTAGATTTCAGCCAGCTTCCTGGGGAACTTATGTTTAAATATGCTAACTTCTTAAGCTTTTTCACAAACTCTTTACCATACATATTGTTAGTGGTTAATTTACTCGACCTATCCATTCCTTCCATTTACATTGCTCTCTTTCTTAATGATTTTCAAAAGCTGTTGAAACATTCTAGTCAGCCATCTTGAACTGTATATACCATATTAGTATAGTTTTTATAATATAAATGAATGTTTTAAGTGGTCATCCTTGTCACTGATTTTTACAGGAACATTTTGTGTGTTGACGGAAAGTTTTTTTTGTTAAAATGTTACCCTATTGATTTTCATCAATTCTGGGACTATCATATTTGTTAGGCTACTTGCATTGCTGGGAACAACCTATGTACAACTTTGGTTTACACCCGAAGTATAAATATTTTTTAAAATTATACTGTATCATTATTATAGTTTACTACGAAAACTAATCTGTTAAATGATCCAATCAGAGTAGGTCTTGGAAACAAAAAAGACTGTTAATTGATACATTGTGTGGTTGAGAATGAGATTGAAATGCTCAACCATCTTATTACACAATCAGTACAAGAAATGTACATACTTAGCCTTGTAGCATACCCGTTATTCAGATGGTATTCCTCCCAGAAGAATAACAACTTTTTAATAATAAAGTTATTTCATTTTAAATTGTGCCTTTTTCACCTACTTACTTCATGTGGATCAAATGTATGTTTAGTGAGTTAGATTTTAGTCGGTGGCTCAGTTGGTAATGATAAGTGTTGCAGACTATGAATGCAGGACAGTGATGTTGAATGTTCCTCATGTCCTGTTGCCGCCCCTAATATATATACTTATCAGCACAGTTTATTTAGTGTTACGACTTACCTCTTGCTTTATTTGATACGCTGTACGTGCACAGGTCAGAGACCCATGTGGACGATTAAACGTATGGTGCCAAAACCTAAAATTAAATAACAAAAAAACTAATTTTATCACATTTAAAACACCACAAAATAAAAATTTCAATCACCCAATAATAATGTATGACTCACAACTTATTGAGCATAAGACCAGCACAAACTTTTTGGGTCTAACAATAGATCAACATTTGAATTGGAATGATCATACAAAAAAAATAGTTTCAAAAATCAACTCTGGAATTTTTGCCCTTTCAAAAATGTCTGTGTACTGTGATGTCAAAACTTTGAAAAACATTTACTTTGCATAGGGCCTATATCCATTCACATATTTCCTTTGGTATCTGTCTATATGGAGCAACAACTCAAATCAATCTAGATAAAAATTAAAACATCAAAAAAGAGCAGTGAGAGTAATGCTCAGACTAAATTCTGATGTCTCGGCAAAAGAGCACTTTAAACAGCTAAACATACTAACTGTTTATGGGCAATATATTTATGATTCAATTTTAATTTTTAAAAATAAAACCTCATCCGATGTATCCAATCTACCGGTTCACCGATATGAAACAAGAAAAGAAAATAAGATTTTGCAAAATAGGCACAGATTAAAGTTTTATGAAAAAAACCATAATTTGCTGGTAAAAGTTTTTATAAACATATCCCCGGAGGAATTAGAAACGAAAAAGATCCAAAAAAGTTTAAAACAAAACTAAAAAATTTCTTAATAGTAAACATGGCAATTTATTCTCTAGAAGAATTTTTCCACCTCCCTCAAGAATACTAGATATTAAGAAGGCATCTGTATGCGGAGATGTATTTTTTAATTGATTTATAATCTGTATTTTATATTTTAATAATTGTAATCTTTGAAACTATTCAAATGCTGTATTATGTATACTTCTCAATGAATAAAGAAATTGAAAGAAGCCAACAACATCTTTTAAACAATAAATGTGTTGAAAATCTAATTAAAACTTATTGATTCAATCTTCATTAAATTATCATCTGGCTTGATTGGTAATAGCCTCAAAGAAGGTATTGTTGGGTAAAAATAGTTATTTCAATAACTTTTTCATTTTTGAATTTAAGTTATCACCTTATAAACTTAGAACAAGTTATAAACTTGACAACTAGGGCCAAACACTGTCACTTAAACAGTACCTACCGTAAAAAGTACTCTGATTCTTTCTTCTATGATGTAGGCCTAAAATATAACCTAGGATGGTAATATCAATGCCAATAATGAAAAAAAAAAACATTTGTACGAATTTAAGATTATTATTAACCCTACAGCATTCAGCAGTCATAGCTTTACAAGCATTACTCCAACTGGTATTACTGAGTTTTTACGACAGAGACCCTTCTGACAAACATCACCAAGGTTATCCAGATTGGGTGAGCAGCGTTTGGGTTTCTCAAAACAAGAAACTCTACATCCCGTGTCACATTTTTTGCAGCAAGAAGACCTATCGCTAGTTTTAGGACTGCAGCAGCCAGTCCTATCACAAGGTTTAAGACTGCAGCATCCAGTCCTATCACAAGGTTTAGGACTGCAACACCCAGACCGATCACAGGTTTCAGGACCGCAGTAATACCTCTCGCACGGTTTGGAATCGCAACAACGCTTCCTGTAGTAAGGAGTTCTTAGACATTCGAGTTGAAAATAAAGTTCCTGCAGAAGTCTCTCCAGAGTATAAACTCGCTCCATCAAGCCACAGATAAACTCAAACTCGCACCTGTCTCTGCAAGGGTCGTAACAATCCTTGGCACACATCAGGTCAAACTTAACACTCTCTAGTCGTTCCGAGATGTTGTTCAAGGAACATCTGAGCTGTTCACAGTTGGTGCCACAGTCACACTCTATGGATTGTTTGATCACCCCCTCGACACAGCATGTTTCCTCCTCCAGACTGTCCAACAGCTGTTCAATACACCTGAGTTGGCTCATGGAGTACAAATAAAGTTGGTTTGGCCTTCTTCCACTGAATAACCGTTGGATGCTGTTGCGTATTGTGTTCAACAGCCCTGGCTCTGGTGCAGTGCAGCACCTGTCTCTACAAGGATCGCAGGGCGAACAAAACGGTTTGCGAGGTCGTAGCTCTTCTCTACTGCACGACTCACACCCTACAGGGCTGTACCGCCTTCTCTCGGAGACAGCTCGGTACTTCGTACGTTTTCTAGGACTGTGGTGAGATCTTCTAGTCCTTATGTGTTTTCTTTCACAGTCAGGACAGTCGTTCATATTCACTTATCCTTTGTTTATTATTTTTCATGTAGCAGGATTCGTAATCTTTCTGTTTTAAACTCATAATACATTGATTATTTGCTTTCAGATTGCTTTTTCATCCTTGTGTGGGTCACTTAAGTATATTTGGCAGAACTGGTAATTTTGAGTTTCAATCCAAACGAAAACAAATAATTTTAAGCGGTTTGTTTTTATTTTAATGTTTATTGCCAAACATGGATCAGGTGTTAAAAAAACTTATGTAATAAACCCTAAGACAATATTATTGCACTAAATATAATCTTTGACTATTGATCATCGATCTCTATTATTACAATACAACTTCAGTATCCAATAGTCAATGATATAGTGCACCATTTGACGTTATAAATAGGGAATAGGAATATAAGAAGTTTTTGTAATTTTCAAAGAGAGTCAAAAATGTTTTTTTTTTAATTCTCTGACACTCCTTTGAGTTATAGTGTATTCATGCATTGTAACAACAACTGTGTAAAATGGTCAACATTGGCCATCGTCCAGGGGTCGAGGGGGCGTGGACGGGTCAGAGGTGTGACATTGCCCCAACATCATATCTGTTACGATGACTCGTACACATATCCCAAAACCACAGCAGTCTGAGTCTCGATTACACTGTCAACATAATTATCTATCAATTCATACTACCTACAAGAAAATGTAACAGTAAGCATTTGATATACCTGTTAGCAATGCGCATTTCAAGTAAAGAAAAAGTACAACTTTTGTTATCGCGGATATAAATTGGTACAAGTAATATACAACACTATACAGTAGATGTTTGGGTTTTGGTTATCGATCAAATTGATACTTGTATGTTTATGTTATGATGGAGTCGGATTTTATAGTTTCACGAAAGAATATTTGAAAGATTAGTGGGATGACTTAAGCAGCTTAAATACTGAGATATGAATGTTTTGCCTATGTTTTAATTATGCGACGCGATTTTCTGCACTGGACAAATATATTAAAAGTGCAGTCGCAGTCGCAACCGTTTGCCGGGGATAGCTCAGCCTACGATGGCTGGGTAATATTCCAGGGTCTGCGACAAGGTCAGGGAAACCACTAGGCCAAAAGCCGGGTCTAACCGGTATAGGACTGGCTCATACACGGGCACTGTGAACAAGTCAAAAACAAGTCACCAAAACAAACGCGCAATAATCACTACCAGGCCTACGCCGATTCTCCACACTCCTAGGGGGTCGCTGGACCAATAGTTAAGCCCAGAGTGCCTAAAACACGGTGAGTTACACGACGACTTGCCGATAAAAACCACAACGCGAGTTATCACCAGGCGGGGTCTACTAGGCCACTACAATCCAATACACAACTCTAATGCCCAAGCTAAGAATCAAACAGTTCACTCAATAATCGTACCACATAATAATATACAAGTACACTATAGGTAGGGTGGCTACACCACTAGTAGCTGGTCTCAATAAATACCAAGCCAAACAAGCAAAACTAAATGGCAATTGCACTATTAAAATATTGAGCTACTTAGTAGCAGATAAATAAATATTAACTACGTTCCAAACACTAGATAAATATATTATCTGATAGCCGGTACTCCGCTATCCAAGCTACCAAGATAACGTGTTGGACTACTAAGCAAGCTGTTCAGGTTAAATTAAAATAATCAAATGAATAACCAATAACAACCCTACTACTGCTACTGCTACTACCAACTTTATGTTACTTAGCTGGGCTTCTGTTAATAGGCTAATAAAACTAGCTACTAGCCTGCTGGCCTCGTGCTTCCAACTACGCACGCTAAATCGTGCAGCCTAGGTTTGTCGGGCCTCAGAGTTATTAGTAATATAACTAACTCTAGGTACAACGCAAAATAATATCTACTACAGTCAATTAAATTATATTATTTGCGCTCTAGCACCTGCCCAGAACCGTCAGGAATATACTTTAATATTATTCCTGACTAATAAATCCTAACTACCGTCAGGCTTCGACCAGCACGGTTACAACTCTAACTCTCGCAATAAAATCAGATATTAATATATTCAAACTAATAATATCAGCTTTTAACCAAAATCAAAGAACGTCGTCCACTCACCAGCAGTGGGTCCTAACACCCAACTTCACACCAACTGTCACACCTCGTACACTCTGTACCTCCAACGTACGCCAGCCGTCTCCACAGGCACAGGACACCAACACTATCCTCACTCTACGAGATCCACCACTAGAATGTCCGTCCTAGGCTATCCTGAACATCTAGGATATCCCAGGCTTATCGGCACTGATAAGCCGGGTCAAAGGGCGCTCGCTAGCTTCGCCGCCGCCGCTAGCTTACCTCAACAATCGGTGCGCGGCCAAATAGCAAAAATATACCCCCCTAGGGAAAATAACTCGTTACATCCCCCACTTACATCGGGATGAAAAAAAAGAAAACGGCCAAAAAGAAAAAAAAGATTCAAACTCCGGCCAAAACAAAATACTCCAACACCTAACCCAATGGTGAATCCTACACCACAGGTCTCAAACTCAAAACAAAGAAAGCTCTTCTCCTAGCCACTACCAGCCAACATGGTGCTGAATGATTTGGCATCAGGAACCAGACGGGGATTTCCATTGCAAGGGCCTTCGGGGTCTTCGTCACCAATTTTGACACTGTCTATGCGGCCCACTTGACCAGAACAGTCCTCACCCACGCCCATTCTTATCACCTCCGTCACGACCGTCACAAGTCCGAGATGTCGTATGACATCCATACCCAAAATCATATCTGTGGTAAGAGTGGGAACGTACAAGGCGTCTCCAACCCACCGTCTTCCCGCAGCCTCCCCTGCCAATCGGAACGAATACTCGGCCCTAGACCGCGACCCATCTGCCATCCTCAGAGGAGAGGGTTTCTTAAAAGGTTCTACCCCCTGGCGTTGAAGATGATCGGCGACTTCTCGCCCAACCAGGTTAACTACGGACCCAGTGTCCAATAACGCCTTAAAAACGCTGCCCATCAGCACAACTTCAACAAAGGGCCTTGTCTCCGAAATCAGCCGGTTCTCGTCTACTCCACCAACCAGGCTGTTTAGTTTTCCGAGCCACTCGGACCACTCTTCTGAGGTCGTTCGTTTTGGGTGGCCTTGCCCAGTTGACCTCCTGATGTCTGAGCTGGCCTGCCGTTTCCCGCCCGACATCCACACTGACTCACCGTCAAACCAGGTTTGCCACACCCATAACAGGAGACGGTCCTTGTATTACCACATTCTCGGGCAAAGTGACCAATCTCCTGGCACCTAAAACATTTCACCGTCCCCTTTGGACCCTCAGGCGCTCTAGCTGCTGTCACGGGCCGTTGACCGTGGACCCGATCCGAAGCAACTCGCCCAAGTGACTTGTCTTCCGGAGATGGTCTCTCGAAACTCCGCTTCTCGACTGAGACAGTTTCGGAGCGCTTCTCCACCTTCTTTTTGGGTGCGTAGGCGGTTTCCAAAACCAGCGCTACGTTTGGAGAAGGAGGAGGTCGAAAGGCCGCCTTCTCTCGCAGATAGGCCTCATAGTCTTCAGCCAACTCCACCATCTCGGCCAGGTTGCTGAAGTCACGCCGGCGTACCATCAGCTTGTACTCAGGACGCATATTGTTGTAGATCAAGTCCAATCTACCATGCTCTGACAACGTACCGCTACGCCTAAGCAAGGTACTTATGGCCACGACATAATCTCGGAAGTGTTCGGTCTCACCCTGCGTCCTTTTCCGGATCTCCTCATCCAAATTCCTCTGATAACCAGGTGGAAGGAACTGGATCTCAAATTGATGCCGGAAAGCTTCAAAAGAATACAGGAGCTCCTTGCAGTTCCTGTACCAAAGAAGTGCTGAACCTTGCAGCAGCTCCGGTAGCGCTCTGAGCAGGTCCTCTGATGATACGGAGTAGGACACCATCAGCTCTTCTAGGCGCTCCAGGAACGACACAGGGTCTCGTCGGCCATCAAACCTCAAACCCCACTTTCGGACCATGTCACATATCTTGGAGCAGTCCTTCGGCTCCACCCTGCTGGCCCCATTCGAGAGCATATCTGATCCAAGTGGCACCTCAACACTAGAAGGACGGACTGGTCTCTCTGAATGATCACTAGGTCGTTGCCATCCCTCGGGTCTACTTGGTAACCCAAAGGTAGGCATGGGAGCAGCCACAACAGGGGACGTAGGGTTGGCGGGTCTTTCGAACCCATAGCCGACCCCATTACTCGGCGAGCCCCTCGCCTGTCGCACCACCAATGCAAGTTGTTCTCGAAGAGTCCGGGTATCAGTCTCCAAAGACAACCCAAGAATCTCTTTGACCGCCTCTAACTCCCTGCTAAGTTCCCCTATCTCTATTTTGTTAGATTCCGTATTACCCAGTACCTGAGGTACGGTTCTCGGGGGGTTAGGAAGCTCCACAGTTGTAGTAGCGGGCGGTAAATATGTCGGTGCAGCAGCCCCAGCTGTACACAGCCTATCATCGCTGTACCGACGGGCATTCCGCTGCTTCCAAAACGACGAGAATCGCTGCCGTAATTCCGCAGAAGTACCAGTGGTCACCAAACCATACTGGTCCATCGTTCTCATGAGCTCCCCTTTCGAGAGGTCATAGATCCAACCCACGCGACTGTCCCGGGGCTGCGACCCCAAGGACATAGTCGCTGGCGCGGAATAGGTCAACGAAGTTGTCACCGTCGTAGCCACTACTGAAGAAATTGTCGGCCAAACGGGCGAAGACGCCGGCCACAATGACGATGTCATCATCACCGACAGTTCGGAGCTAACCCCAGAACTCGTCGTAGCAATAGCAGACGTAATAGGCGTACCGCCCAGCACAGACGTCGTACTCGTAGTCACAACCATATTTAAAATTCAAAACACCACGACAAATCCGCAAAAATAAGGGCGTAACCAATTAAAATATATTTAACACCGTTATAATAAATCAAACCAGTTATAGGTGTGAAAGTCAAACCACAAATACACAATAAGGGTTCTCACTCAA